AGAATGTATGCCACTCTTTAAAATATCTCTGTTAAATTTGGGTAGTTTTATTTTCTGAACATTATGGTTGCAGTGCAGTGTTTTTCCACATTTAATAGACTTCCGCATACATTGGTTATGGGTACATCGGACAATAATGCTGATACCCACCACACAAAGACGGCTTTGAGACCAACATAATGTTTAACTCATGTCGTTGCTATGTCGAGGTTATGAGAGACTTCTTGAAACTCGAGTCAACTGTGCCCTCTGATCGTGAAAGCTCATGAGCAGTTACAACGTAGTTCTTCCACTGTGCGGTGCACAAAGAATTTATCTGTTGAATTTTAAACTCTAGGATGAGAAATGCTTAAAGTTTTCGCGCTCACTTCTGTGGTTTAAAGTTGTAATCCATTATTAGTGAATATTTCGTTTACAATATGTTAATTAAAAAATGTACTGCTGATGCCTAAGAATACACAATACTTCAGATTTTAATAACCCAGAAACGGTTTGAGAAATATTCTAAAGATTTTGCCATTAATTGTACCCATATTGATAGTCGATATCCGTACTAATTGACCACATGAATGGTCACTTTTAGTATTATAGGCATCTTCACTATAGTACCTACAGTAGGCATCTTCACAATAGTACCTACAATAGGCATCTTCATTGACTCCATATTAGGATCAATAATAGGTGCGCAATAAAAAAACTACTGATGTTCCTGGTCACGCCTCTTCAGGTAAAGAAAAAAAATTAATGTGAAACGATTTGTGGAAGTTTGTAAGAAAGTTTTGCGTTTACATTCACACGAAGCTAAGTGCACCTTACTGTTTAATTGATTTACAAGAATTACCTGGTATACAATGACGAGTTGGGCAGAGTAAAAGTTATAAAATTTGAGGATGAGTAGGAGGACCATTATTATAAAGCTAATTATTGGATCTAGCCTGCAGGAAATAAATATTGATTCTAATCATTCAATTCAGTATTTGTATTTAACACGATCATCGGTTCGAAACAGTGGTTAGCCTAATTACCATCGATCATTTTATTTCAATTGAATAGACCTAAAGTTGCTTCGCAGATCGCATTATTTTAATACAAACCATCAAGACATTCTACGTATACAATCAAACACTGAAAAAAATATTAGGCAGATTTTCACTGATAAATGCGAGCATATAAAGCAATACGACCGGCCAATTGTGAAGAAAAATGCTAACGTGAAGTTATTTCACTATTATGCACAATGGATTGGACTTTTCTGCACCAAAATTTCAAATTAGTCAAATTACACGTATTACACATTGTCTTGCGAACCTTTTGTTCGCAAGACTATACAGTATATAAATAGCTACACAAATGCGTTGTCAACAATACAGAAATATAACGATTTCATTGGATTTTAGTAGGAATACTTAATATATAATAAATAAATACAAGTGTTATTTGTAATTAGACTTTCGATTTTCATTCTTTATAAACTAAGTGTACTTTAGTAGAATACATTTTCAAGGCATTTTTTACAGAGAATTTCATGAAATTGGAGAAAAAAAACAATAAAGCACAGATGATTGAAAGATAAACTGGTTGTTGTAACCTCGCATTCGCCGAAACGAAAAATAAAAAATCATTACTCAGAACCAAATAATGATTATTTTAGAATATTTATATATTAGAACTCTCCAAAATCAATGAAAATTGTAGAACATCCAATCGTTCTTTTTCCACGTATGATAGTTGGATTTTGAATGAGATCGAGTATGACGGTCAGCCCTCATGTCCGGAATGAAAACTGCGCTCTTGCAGAAGATATTTCTTCCCTATAAATTATTTATAATTTTTTGAACGGTATGAAAAAATTACCTTCTGGACCAAAATGAAACATCCCGCATGCTGGTTTCTATAATGGATTCAAAATGTTGGATGCCTATCCTGGAAATCAATATTCAATTTTTTGAGTTGTGAAGAAACGTTGCGTAAAAAATATTTCAATGACTGAGCGTTCTAAAATATCAGAATATATCCTACTCGCTAAAAGTTTGTAGATTAGAATCACAATGGCATCTAAACAGAATAAAATAATATTTTTTAACTTGCCTAAAAGATCCAACAAATTTTTACTTCGGGTTCGCTATGCATTTTAGAGATGAGTTAAAAACAAAGTTTTCAAATAAATAAAAAATTCTTCACAAAGCCTGTGTATTTCAAACCATAGAATTATTTTAAAAAGTTTAGTATACAGTCACAGACAACAAACATACAAAACACGAAACTAATAAAAGAAAACAAGGGTTTGACGCCGCATTGACTCCTCCGTACAAGCCATAAACAGAGGAACCATATCCATGATCAGGATCCTCAGCTGAGAGAATTTCAAGTCTAGAATCCGCCGGTTGGTGAAGCTGGGAAGGATCTCCTACCAAATGTAGGTCTATATCTACCGGCAGGGTTGCCTGATGTGGTGGGAGATGAATGCCTGATTCTAAGGCACAATTTTTTACAGGTAAACAAGCACCGAAATCATTGATACGAAAACACGGACCAACGCAAGGTTGAAGAGGGATCGGAGGAACCAATGGTCCATGTCTAGAAGGTTGAGGAATCGACCCTCTCACTGCATGCTGTTGGTTTCCAAGACACAATTCATTCCTGAGACAATTGCAGTTCAAATCGGGTGCGTAACACGGATTGCCGCAAGGTTGACACCTGAAATTTGATTCTTTTTGGTACGAAAACTCTTGTTTGTATTCTTGATGATGGCCATGGTTGATAGGCGAAGGATTTGGATAGTAGGCAGGATGATTGTCGTAATTCATTACAGAAATTACGAAGAGTGGTTGCGCAAAAAGCATCAGAGAAGACGCAATGAGAAAATAGGTTTTCATTTTGATGAGTATTCTTTCAAAATAAGTGTAGAAAAAATTACTTCCACTCAGGTCTTTCCGACGGAATAACCTTCATTCGCTAAGTGGAATTAACGTGTCTTCAAATTTCATTATGAAACACAATGAAATCCTAAAGGTTGGAGTTGTTAAACTCTGTATTGTATTGTCACGAAACGTGTAAAGGTTCAAGAGGTTTCCAATAACAAGAAAGAGCAATATGCATCTTTTTCTGAATGGACTGTACGAATATCAGTTGTCACACATGACATCAAACGTCTTCAATTCTGCCGATGCTCACAGAAGCTGATCATTTACTAACTCGTTTCCGAGCTTTGGAGTGGTCATTGCCAAGTCGGAACTTTCCAGTCCAGATCAAGTAGATAAACAGCAAACGGAAGTGGCCAGATAACAATAATGTCTTAGACCTGACTTAATAAGCACTTAGGATTATGCAAATCGACTTCTCAACGGCCTTAACTAGTATCGAGAGCCATTAGTCATCAAACAGATACACACACCTCAACGTTAGTAAACTCGTGTAGACTAATAAATTGAAAACGAGAAATTAACACGGGAAAAAATTCCAAAAACAAACGCCCTACAACATCTAGAAGATTAAAGTCTTCTACTAAGAATGAGGAAAACTTCGAATTATATGCAATTAAAAATGAAACATCGACTATTCAATTTTTTTGGAGAAATGCGATTACCGAGCGAATGATTTATTCGATGCATATGAATGCCGAGAATGTGAAAGCCTAAAGTAGTATTCAAAATTCACGTGGAGTTTATTGAGGTAAATTAATGCAAAATCTGTTTGAAAGCTGTATGAGGTTTGTTTCTTTAAATTTAGACGATTTTGCAAAGAATGTTGTTTACAAGAATGCTAACCCTCAAAGAAATTCATTAATTATTGTATTTTTCTTTAAGTTCACTTTATTGCGTGAAAATATAGTGATTCAATAGACAAATATCCCCAAGCAGCAGTTCACCGAAAATATTTTGCCAAAGATTCAACCGTGTAGTGAAACTAAGACGATGAATTCAGCGCACGATTCGTTGCTTTATACACAACAAAAACATCATAGGATGAATTTAATAGCAAAGCCGTGAAGCCTTCCATGATGGTCAGCCAACAGTTTTATTCTAAACTCTGTTAAGGGAGGTTTTCCGTGAACGTAGCACTGAATTATATCCGGCTAGGTTACTTGCCTATAAAAAATGAGCTCAGCGCCGCATTCAAACAAGAATGAAATGCAGCATAGTTTCTGTGTAAAAAGAAAAAATATTAAAGTCGAATTGGAACAGGAACCATAAAATCACATAAACAGGAATAATTTTGGAAAATTAAGGTCGGTGATCATTCTTGAACATCAAGCAATGTTGATAATGATTAATTAACTGCATGATGATTAGTTTTTATCGTTAAAATATAAAATTTTTACATTAGGTTGGGTTCAGTTGGCGTAAGATATTGTATATAATTGGTTAACTTCGTTATCTAACAGTTACTAGGAGTTTCTGAAGAACATAATTTGGGCACCTGCTTAGGGTAATACAAAAAAGCCTGAATACAGAAAATTAACAAATGAGCTAGTTTTGCCCGATGAAAACAGACCAATTTAATGCATTAAATTTTCAGCGAGTATTTCGATACCTAGGAAGGAAATTTATAAAAATTCTAAGAGATGATACCATACGAAAAATTTACGGTCATGTTATAACAGTTAACGTCTTCTATAAAATGTTCAAGCATGTAGAGACAATGAAGAATAGAGCTATCATTACTGATACCTTCAGATACTGTGTGAAAATTTATAGCAAACCTTTTAAGAGCCATCCGGTTTATGCATAACTAGCGTTGAAATTGATCATAATTAGTATAAATGTGTCTTCTATTAATGAGAATTTGGGCGCGTAAATTGTTATATTTCAAAGATTCCTCGTCTCTTCCATCTATTTTTCGTATCGATTTGAAAATAATAGTGTAATTAACTCCCAGCATGTAGTCGAATTTTGTTTTCATATATACGTAAGATCAATATTGAATAGGTAAAGAAAGTCAACTGATCTTAATGATCCGATATTGAAACTCAACAAACTTATTTCAAGTCTCATTTGTGCAGCCATTTGTGTGTCTCTTTCGCCAGATGATAAGTAATTTTAGCAACATCGCAGAAAAATGCCGAGACCTATGAATTTCGATGGCGTGTTCATTGTTAGTTGTCTTTTATGTTTGGCAACTCATTTTGTAAACACAGCAAGGAGTCATGAGAATCACAATGGCCACGAGGAACGATATCCTGCAAGTTACAATTTGTCACTAGAAGCGGTTGGAAAATATTCCTCATTTCAACACACACATTCCACCATACTTGACCTGGATGGCGTAATGGTTCTCAGCTGGACTCCCGATCTCGAAAAACAGGTAAGGAAAATTAGTAAACGTGATAGAATGTTAATTAGGAAAACAATCTCAATAACTTGAGATTTTTAAATGGATGCTTATTATATCATTGAAAATTTAACTATTGTATTAAATGACAACTGAAACCATGTTTTAAGTAATGAGGTTGCGATTATATTAAATTAAAATAATATTAATTAATAATTAATAGTAATAATTGTAAAAAATAATATTTAATGAATTAGGCAATATTAGAATTTATTTCTAATTTACGATAAATTAAACATGCAAATTTGTGAATAAAAATCCTCAGTGTAACCTATCAGACACTGCAAGTAGCTGGTAAGCTTTACTTATGTTTATTAATTTAGTAACCCGCGGGCACCGTATAACAGTCCTGGAGAGCCTTATGGTAGAGAAATAATTATTTTCAGAATAATATGTGATACGAGGATAAATGTTCTTATACATTTTCACCGGAATCGTAACAACTCAAAGTGAATTCATAATTATGATGTTTCGTTTCCAAGGAAGTAACGTTCACCATATCAGCTCGGACTCGTGGCTGGGTTGGTCTAGGTATCAGCAGCAACGGAGCCATGCACGGCGCTGACATCGGTGAGATTTGCGATCAAACTTTGCTCGACACTGGGAGGCAATCACCGAAGCGTATTGTTTGCATACACATATCATTACAAATAATATTTGTATGGTAGCAAAAACAATGATGACGTTACATTGTAATGATTAATCACTGTAATCATAACAGGATTATGGTGATTAATGTGATGGTAAAAACTCAATAATAAGAGAAGTGTGATGAATTCGGTAATGTAGCAGTAAATTTCTTACTTGAAAGAAATTATTATTTAAGGCACTTAGGTTATGACGACGAAACATGAAATTATTATTTGAATTTAGGATTTGATATCAGTAGCTTTTCAAACACTGATATGCTCAACATGACCACGTTAATAAATGGCATGAACGTAAATATGATGAATAAGGCAATCAGAGTTATGTTATGACTATGGTGACTATGCTATGAATGTGGTAATTTTAGCAATAGTATGCATGACCTGCTCTCAAAATGGCACGAGCATGGAATTAATAATAATGTAACAGATAAAATAAAGAAATGGATTTCTCACGTCAATAATAATAATAATGGTTAAACTTTTTTAGGATGACAGAATAAAAATAATTAAATTGAAGTGTAAATGTGATTTTGAAACATTATAATGGTGACTGAAGTGATACAATTTCACTAATAATATATGAATTATATATGAATTATTATATGAGTGTCAGTAGTAATGTAACTTAAATTAATGGAATAGTTCTAGTATAATACACGAGACGACAAATATGTGTTATTGTGTCGAAATTCTGAGCATTAAATGATTTTTATTGCATTAAATTCGGACAATGAAATAATTTTGTTGCATCGAAATACTGACTAAGAAATAGTTTAATTTCATCAAGATACTGAATATGAAATAATTTAATTGCATCACAATACTAAATATAAAATAATTTAGTATTGTGATGCAATAAATAACACCACAATACTGACTATGGTTTATTATAATTGCATCAAAATACTGAATATGGAGTAATTTAATCGCATCACAATACTGACTATAAAACAATTTAATTGCTTAAAATTATATCTAACGAATAATTTAATTGAACCACATTATTGATTATCAAATAATTCGATTGCTTCAGAATGCTGACTACGGAATAATTTAAGTGAATTAAAATACTGACTTTGGATTAATATAATTGCACTACAATACTGACTATCAAATAATTTGGTTGTTTCAGAATACTGACTAAGGAATAATTTAAATGAATTAAAGTACGGAATATTAATTAATATAATTGCATCAAAATACTGACTATGGATTAATATAACTGCATCAAAATACTGACTATGGATTAATATAACTGCATCAAAATACTGAATATAGATTAATATAAGTGCATCCAAATACTGACTGTGGTTAAATTTAATTGCATCAAAATACTCACTAGTGATAACAATACCTCAGTGACGGCATGGGTGAAGGGCGACCGTGTGTACGTCCAGGACCGTTACGGTGACGGTCACAAGACGCCGCCCGTGGATGACAAGGGCCACTGGCAAGCCTTGGCAGCTTATGAGAACAACACGCACACGGTCGTCACGGTCAAGAGGGACATCAATACATGCGATCTGCAGGACTTTCCTCTTACTGTGAGTACAACTTATATTTTTAAATTCTATACTCGATGCAAGGATATCGATTGCGTACTGTACTGTGAGTACAACTATGTTTTTAAATTCTTTACTCGATGCAAGGATATCGATTGCGTACTGTACTGTGAGTACAACTATGTTTTTAAATTCTTTACTCGATGCAAGGATATCGATTTCGTACTGTACTGTGAGTACAACTTATGTTTTTAAATTCTATACTCGATGCAAGGATATCGATTACGTACTGTACTGTGAGTACAACTCATGTTTTTAATTTCTATACTCGATGCAACAATATCGATTACGTACTGAACTGTGAGTACAACTATGTTTTTAATTTCTATACTCGATGCAACAATATCGATTACGTACTGAACTGTGAGTGCAACGAGTGCTTTTAAATTCTATACTCGATGCAAGGATATCGATTACTGTACTGCAAGTATTCATATATTCAATGCAATGATATCGATTGCGTACTGTATTGTGAGTACAATTGTGCTTTTATTTCCTTTACTTAATGCAAGGTTAACGATTACTGTACTGCGAGTACAGCATTGGCAATTAAATCATAACTTCAGTAGAATTTATGTATGAATAACGATAATAATTGGCCTTGTAATATCGCAGAACTGATAAGCCAGTGTCAGGGCTGGTGGAATAAAACTGTTGACTCAAATAAATAAAATTATAATTCCGTGAGCAGAACGATACTACGCGATTTATCTTCGCCTGGGGCCCTGTTGATCCTGAAGGAGAATTTCCACCATACCATGGACCGAGGCGCGGAGCGAAGTAAGATTACGGTCAAATTTCTAATTTAAATCTATTCCTGGGGCCATACTTTCAAAACTCGCTAAGTGAACATAAATACTCACGCTCTATTTTCTTATCTATGATTGGTGGATTTGCTTGAAAGGCCGTCAATGATTGGCAGATGAACTTACGATCTCTTAACTTTCTTTGAAAGTATAGGCCCTGGTATTTGATTGGAGTAGATAATTCAGGGTACGAAGAAATGATGAAAAATTGCTTACATTAAACATCCTTTTGCTTCCATGATTGAAAATTAGAATCCAGTTTTCATGATTTATGTTGATTTTTAGCGCATTTTCTTATTTATGAATAAAATGCCTTATTGTGCTCGTCATGTCCGTCCGTCCGTCTGTCCGTGACTTCACGTTTTCGTCGACGAGAAAATGAGCTCTCAGTCACTCACTGCAGTGAGTACTGAGTTATATTTGTATTATTATTATTTATATAATTTTTTTATTTATTTTTTATTTTTTTTATAAAATATATATATTATAAATTATTATTTCAGGTTTGCGCTCGCTTTGTTGCCATTCCACAAACCCACTCCGAACCTAAAAAATTACAAGACATGGCGTATTTCTCTTGAGACTCCGCTGCCTCCAGACAAAAAAACATTTTACTGGTGCCACATTGAGAAAATTCCTCAGTTGGCGAAAAAACATCACTACATCGGGGTAAGTAATTGTTCCAGCGATTTGTAAAGAATAAGCTTACTTCTTGTAGAGGAGATCCACCGCTGCATATTTAGAACGGAAAACCTCAAACAATCACCGAAGACTTAAAATGATAGTAGGAAACGAGATCAAATGTGGCAAAATAACTTATAACATTAATTAGGAAATGAGGATATTTAGAATTTCAAGAGATTTAAAGCATTAATAGATTTAGAGCACTAGGAATTAAAAACAATCAAGAGTTTTATGAAATTAGGACATTTAGAACATTATAAGATTGAGACATTGTAGATTTCGAACATTATTAAGAAGGGTCCAGAAAATAGTAAGATTATTGAGAAATTCCAAAATTGGTTTCAAAATAAATCATTGGTTTAAAAAATGGACAAAAACTGCGTGCTGGAAAGCCTTTTCGCAACGGATAATCCAGACTCCCTAAATTAAAAACGCTTACTAACTTGTATAATTATTTTCTTACAGTTTAGCATGATATACGGCAACAACTCGAAGACATTTTTGCATCACTCTGTTGCGTTCGAGTGCAGAAGTAATGACCCCAAACGTCCAGCATCTGATATATATGAACAGGTATTTATTTTTCGTGTAAATTTGCATTGTCTATTGATTGTACTTGTGTCCTTAAAATGTGGTTGAAATTATGACTGAGTTGGTCTCCTAAATGTTTCTTGTGAAGATATGACAAATAAATCTGACGTTTTTCTTGCTTTTAAATTCTTGATTAACTCGCGATTTAGGAAAACTAATGATATACATATTCGTGTACGTATCTTGTATACGAACAGAACGTTGGGCACGCCGGATACGAGTGCTATACCCCCAGCATGCCAGACCACTTCAAGACCTGCGAGACATTCTTCATCAACTGGGCCATTGGAGGCGAGGTTATTGTCACTAAATAAATACATTGTTAAGGATAGTTAAGATATTTATATATTGATTCACTTTCGTTTGATACATGACTAGCAAGCACTTCAATGCCTGCAGTAACTTTTCCCTCAGTTAAGCTAATTTCGAGGGAAAGTTTAGGGTGTATGAATGAGCTATTAGCAACATTTGGCGTAATAATTTCAATTTTTGATGGCAATGGAAAGTCACTGAAAAATCTGGCAAGTCATAAATTCGAAATATAACTTGTTTTAACTGTAAGTACGAGTGAAATTTCATTTCCAAACTTCAACGTAACTAATAATATTTATGCATTAATTAGTTCGAAAGTTTTTAGCAGAATGTAAGCGTTTGCTTTAATGTTTACTTGCATAGTGCTCAATCGCGTAGCCAGAATACGTACAAACGAGTGTATTCTGGGGCTAACTTCTGAACCGGTCTTTGGATCCTTTGTGAAGTAACGTAATCAACGCATTGAAATGGGAGGAATAAACTTCAAAAGTTATGAGCCGCAGAAGGAGCTCTACTTGTGTGATCGCTGTCTCGACGAGCGGACTCGCTGCCTCCAAAATGAAAATTTGATCTACCCCGAACGCGAGCCTGAACCTGTTCCACCCGATAACTACAAGGATATTTTCCAAGCTGCCAAGCTCAAAAAGCATCGAAATGTGCACAGGAGACATCGGGCTCACGACAACCAAGGTGATGGCCGAGAGAGAGTAGCGCTGATGTGGAAATCTGAACAAGATGGGCAGATAAGGCAACGTCACCCCAGACCGGTGGAAGTTCTTCAGCGTTGCCAGGAGGTTTTACCTCCCGTTCAGAAGAAGCCGTTGCCACGGCCTCCAAGTCGCTACAAGGAACTGCCGATACGGAGGGACGGCATTGCTGAAAATTACGCTGGATGTGATCCACACTCAAGACGAGAGTTTGAAGATGTGGAAGTGCCTCAGCGTTGCCAAGATGATTTTCCTCCCGTTCGGACGAAGCCGTTGCCACGGCCTTCAAGTCGCTACAAGGAATTGCCGATACCGAGGTACGGCACTCTTGAAAATTACGCTGGATGTGATCCACACTCAAGACGAGAGTTTGAATACGACTTCAGGAATTAGGGTGCAGTTGTTTTTTAAAATGGAGTTCATCAGCAACCAATTCTACATCACGGGCAGTGAATTCCATCTTTTGGTTGACTTTGGAAGAATAATTAAAACTGAACATAGAGTTATTAGTTATGTGTGGAGCTACTCGTAACATACGAATTTACTTGTGATGCGTAAAGTTAGTTGCTGTACAATAAGTTACCTGCCGTACGTGGAATTATTTGTTTAGCTGTGAGGCTAATTGTGATACTAGAAGTCACATGTTTCTGTTTAGTTACTCAGTTAATAGTTCACATTGGATTGCTGGCTTGAGATATTCACTGAAAAAAGGCCTAATGCTAAATTTGTCAAGAAGGGAGCGCAAAATTAGCAATATCACGGAACCCTTACAACGCATCAACAGTGCTTGTTCATTAGTTAAGGAAGTCTATCCAGGAAAATGCAAACCTACCTGCTCAGGGAAACGAAACGACGCACTGCCTTAAATGTTGTAGTACAGCGAAGAAAAACCTTAGAACAAATTGCATCACGTTTCTTGTACAGTGATTTATATTTTTACAGTGATTTTTGCTACTACTACGGAACTTATTACGGAACTTCTCATAATCGTCTAGTCATCGTTCTCAGAAAATGTGTGGCGGCTACAAGACAGAAGATTTATAATTTTTAAAGTAGTTAAAATATCGGAGATTATTTCTTAAAATATAATTTCTGCAATAAGATTAACCTCCTGAATATCCTAAACGATATAAATGTACGTGCTTCAGAATGTTGTTATTGAGTCTAGCTGAATTTCCTGATGATGTTCGATGTAAGAATTGCTTTAAGGTGATTAAAAACTTGCGTCGCTGCGTTTAAAGAGAAACACTATATAATAGTATTTAACGGTTATGCTGCATGTCAATAATAATAGTTAACGGCAATACTGCACAGGGACTATAAATTTCCTAATAATGTTCGAAGTAAAAAAACTTGCGTCGGTGCGTTCAAGGAGAAACACTAATAATAGTATTTAACGGTTATACTTTATGTCAATAACAGCAAATAACGTCAATACTGCCCAGGGAGCTAAAGGAATATCACTTATAATTGTTATAAAGAGTTATACTGTGCAAAGGGAGATCTTCTGCCTCACACGGTGGGTGTTCCATAAGACTTTTAATTATTTTTTTTCTTTTGACTCTAAACTTTATTAATTTTCTGACTGTATTTGTGTTCTAGATTTATCGAACTGACGATGGAGCTGGTCTCCGAAACGTTTTCAATTGAGAAATGCTGAATTTTTGTGGAGTTTTCTTCGCTTTTAAATTTCTAGTGAATCTGCGATTCAAGCAATCTAGTGACATTATTATTTATAATTGTTATGAAGGATTATACTGTGCACAGGGGGAACTACTGCCCCAGACTGTGGGTGTTCCCATCGGGGAGCAGTACGGCGGGGCTGACTACCTTCTCATCCAAACTCACTATGACAACCCCCATTTGAAACGAGACATTACGGTGGCCTTCTCCATGGATATTTATTACACTGAAAATCTCAGGTCTGTAATCTGTGAAGCCATCGTTGATCTTCAAAATAAATGAACTTTTCTATAAAGCTTTTGACCTAATTGGGTCAAGTAATCTGCATTAGAGCGGCGATGAAAGGAAGATTTCAGTATTTAATTTGATAACTTCATTCAATAAAGCATGGAAATTTTTTACAAGTTATGAAATTTTATTGACAATTGGAAGCTAGTTAATTATTCTAGCAGACTTGGTTTGGTAAACATGTTCTCTTACAACTCTCGAATGCTCACTTGATGAAAAGGTTGAATCAGTCAACATACATTGTTTCAATAACATAAATATCTTTTTACAAGGCCGAATGAAGCTGGAAATTTCGCAGTCAGTCGCGCCATTAATTGTTACAAATAAAATAATTATCTTTTTACAAGGCCCAATGAAGCTGGAAACTTCGCAGTCAGTCGCGCCATTAATTGTTACAAATAAAATAATTATCTTTTTACAAGGCCCAATGAAGCTGGAAACTTCGCAGTCGGTCACGCCATTAATTGTTACAAATAAAATAATTATCTTTTTACAAGGCCCAATGAAGCTGGAAACTTCGCAGTCGGTCACGCCATTAATTTCGGCCTAACAATTCCACCCAAAACGCCACTGTGGGTGACAGCTGGCCATTGTTCCGAACACTGCACCAGGCAAGCATTCCCACCTACAGGAATTAACGTCTTCATGGTCTTCCTACACGCACATTACCTAGGTGAAAATAAATGCTTATTAATTTTCATCTAGATTTTGTGTGATAGATCAGTTATGCATGCTTCGGCAGATGAAGGAGATAAGTTTAAACCGCATTACAATTATGTATTACGATTAGATATTCTAGGAAATTATAGAAAATTATTGTTCCGTTCGGTTTCTATACATATATATATGGTTAGAATATGTTATAGGTACTGATTTCAAGGATAATAGTAATGTAGGGCTGTCAAACTCGTAGCTGGAGTAGTTCACTAGGAAATGAGTACAAGTAGCACAAACTGTAGTATGAGAATATATGCTGCACAATTGTACTATAAGAGAAAATGCTGCCCAGACTATAGTACAAGGTTACATGCTGTGCCGACTGCCATGATGCCATTGTGATTTAAAAGTTCCCTTTTGAAATCTGCAACAGGTGATCAATAAACTCATTTTCTATAGAAATATATAAATTGCTTTCATTTTTGGTTGCAATAAGGAAAACTTTCTATTATGATATTTTACTTTGCGTTTGTAGCATTAATTTTACAGTAAATATTTCACCTCGACTTTAGCCTCAGAACTTTTACATACAGTGGGGGGAAATAAATATTCGTACACTTGAAAAATCGTATTTTAATGTATGTAAGTACACAAACTTAACAGGAAAAGTGATGTGTACGAATATTTATTTCCCCCCACTGTATAAGGTAAAGAGGTATGAAAATATTATATTTTCACTTATGTTTTACAGACATGGAATACGTGTATTCATTTTATGCAAAGAAAAAAAAATTGCAAGAAATGCGTCGGAACGACTTTCTCCTCATTCTTTATTCACTAGTTTTTTATAACGGTATTTAGTTTATAGGATCGGGCAGTTCGCTTGTAATAGAAACCTTAACTACTAACTAACTAGAATAATTCAAGTGAGGAGACGACCTGAAATCTGGGTCGTTGTCAGAAAAATTTCTTGGAAATTTTTCTCATTTATTTCCACAAATTATATGATCAGAAGGATATGCAATTTAAGAACCATTTAAGAACAAGTAGTTTATCGAATTTGAATTTCTGCGTCGATTGGGTTCGAAAATTTGAGATAAAGTACTTGAATAAAATAAAACACTTATTTAACAATTTCACAGCGAGGGCGATAAGAGTGCGACACTTCCGGGATGGTGAAGAACTCCCTCTTCTGGCTGAGGTAGGTACAGGCTTATGAATTAATTAATAATATTTTTATTATTGTGTTGTGCCTTTAATCTCATGCATCAAAGTCTTTAATAAAAATTATCAAAAATTAAATTGAGCTCGTAAAATACTTATAAAGCTATATCAACTAATTATTTAATTGATAAGCAACTAAACTGATGTGTATTGGCTATTTATTGGAAAGGTACACAGGCATTGGAAAGGTCCTTATTGGCATGATTGATTACTATGTAATTATTTATAGCACAGTTCGGTAAAGGTGAATAGCATCAATATCACAATCAAAATATATAGCTTGAACCTAAAATCGTAAAATACGCTGATAAACGTTTTCAAGTTCACTCGAGAATAACAATATATTAATTTATTTACGTTGCATTTTAAAGAACTGAAAGAAAGCTATTGAATGGTTCGAAGCATAAAAACGATACCGTCCACAGTATTTCAGATTAATTTTTTTTTGTGTAGGACTCCCACTTCGCGGCAGATTTCCAGCAGTCCAGGAAACTGAGCGAAGAAGTGTCTCTTCGGCCCGGCGATCACATTACTGTTGGTGAGCAATTTGATTTATTTTAATAGACGAGACACGATCGTTCTTTACAGGTTATATAGAGCAACATTTAATTGAAACTTGCATGCTTAACGAATTAAGATTTGTTTTTAAGTGTGCTAACAGATATTAGAATGAAGAAATGTGTATACCTTATGACATCTTAACGCACAATTTCAAATGAAATGACTGAAACTGATTTTATGATTTATATAAATTATAGAAATCCTCAGAGCACATTTAATTTCCGTTATCGACATATATAAACCCATTATTGGTAAAATTCCTTGCAAATTCGAAGTTTCTTTTTAAATTAACCACATTCTACCGCTCCGTTGTTCTCGCGAATACGCTAGAATTATTCCGGATATCAACAGATTTTATTCCGACATTAACAAAAATCTGGGCAGAATGCGACTACCAGTCAACAGATCGCGACACCGCTACGTTTTCTGGCTGGGAGGCAAAGGACGAAATGTGCCAAGCATTCATCAGTTACTACCCAAGAGTTGACTTGGCCTTATGTAGGTCCACTCCTACCGTCAACACGATGAGGGACGCTCTCGAAATGCCGTATATACCCAGGTGCTCATCAAACGGCTAGAATTATTTATGGCTCCGTGTGAATGTTTATGATTCCGTACCAAAGAATGTTTATGGTTCTGTACCAAATTCGTTTATGGTTCCAGTATCAACTTAGAAAGTTTATGGTTCCGTACCAAATTCGTTTATGGTTCCATACCAATTTAGAATGTTTATGGTTCCGAACCAAATTCGTTTGAGTTTCGCAAGCGGTCAATTCTGACATGTTTATATATACAGTGGGGGGAAATAAATATTCGTACACTTGAAAAATCGTATTTTAATGTATGTAAGTACACAAACTGAACAGGAGAAGTGATTTATATTATGTATAGAGGCGCATTATATTAAAAAATAGCATCAATAGAAATTAAATCTCAATGCAACAAAAATTAATGCAACATGTTAACTTCTTCGGGTCAAAAAAGTATTCGTACAAAACAACTTTTGACTAATATTTCACACCAGAACATTCCAGAATGTACTAGAAACATGTAGCACGTTCCAGTAATGTAATCAGTAACCATAGTTAACGTATTTTGCAACTACCAGATCATTCTGCAACTGCCCGTAGTACAAGAAGGTCTCAAAAATGGCTAAAGGTAAAGAACTAACAAGATCCCCAAAACAACTATTTCTATCGCGTTGGAAGGAAGGAGAAAGTTATAGGAAGATTGCTAGCCACTTGAATGTTCCTTTTAGTACAGTTGCTTCGTTCATTGGACGCTTCAAGACCCGTGACAGCGTTGAAAACCAAAGACGATCAGGTGCTCCTAGGAAGATTTCTGCACGATCTGCTAGATTATTGGGACGAAAAATCCAAGAAAATCCACAGATTACTCGAGGAGAGTTGCAAAGTCACCTGAGTGCCTCAGGAATTCAAGTAACCAAACAAACGATAAGCAATGAACTTCACAGAAACGAATTAAAATCACGCACCCCAAGAAAGACCCCACTCCTAATGAAACGACATCGAGATGCCAGGCTGAAATTCGTCAAGGAGCATAAGGACAAAGACTATGCTTTTTGGGAAAAGGTTCTTTGGACGGACGAAACAAAAATTGAGCTTTTCGGTCGAAATTATCGTCACCATGTGTGGAGGAAAGACGGTGAAGCCTACCTTCCAAAGAACACTGTGCCTACTGTAAAGTTTGGTGGTGGCAACATCATGATCTGGGGCTGTTTCTCCGCAAAAGGTGTTGGTAACATATCACTTATAGATGGTAGGATGAATGCTGCAAACTACCAGAGCATCCTGGAAAATAATTTGACGACTTCTGTTGAGAAACTAGAGCTACCTGGTGGTTGGATTTTCCAGCAGGATAACGATCCTAAGCATACTGCAAGATCCACAAAGAAATGGTTCGCTGATAGAAATGTACACGTTATGGAATGGCCAAGCCAGTCGCCGGACTTAAATCCGATTGAAAATTTGTGGCGGTATTTGAAGATTCAAATTAAGAAAAGGTCCCCAACAAACATTGAGAATCTTAAGGTGGTGTGCCAAGAAGAATGGTATAAAATACCAGTCAGCATCTGCAAATCATTGGTCGAGACGTATAGAAATAGTCTGGTATCTGTTGAGCTGAATAAAGGGTATTCAACCAAGTATTAAATTAAAATAATGCGGATTTATTGTTTTGTACGAATACTTTTTTCACCCGAAAAGTGAACATGTTGCATTGTTTTTTGTTGCATTGAGATTTAATTTCTTTTGATAGTATTTTTGAATACTATGCGTCTCTATACATAATTTAAATCACTTTTTCTGTTAAGTTTGTGTACTTACATACATTAAAATACGATTTTTCAAGTGTACGAATATTTATTTCCCCCACTGTACCTAGTTTGTGATCACATTGCTGTGATTTAAATATGATCATAATGTGTAAAGGCATATTTGAATAACACGTTTAGAGAACAGCGCCCAAATAGCAAATAAGTGTATTCTGAAGATATTAGTATAAAATCGATCTGGTAAAATAATAAGGTCTAATTATCAATTCATGTAACAAGCACTATTGTTAAAAACGCAGATTATCATAATTGCGATGTTGTTTCACATTCATCAGAATTTTTTGTAATATATCGTGCAATACTTGAAAAATTAGAACCCGAGCCATTTGACTGATCCATGATAAACGAATTCTATTCCATCAAGTAGCAGCAGCAATGCAACTTAAACTGCCATGTACATGCATTTATTGAAGTGTTAGAAATTGTGCATACGCATTCAATAGGAATGCGAAAAATGATTGTTAATAAACCTAGGACTATTTATTCAGTGGCCAATTGGAACAATAAAAAAGTTATATTCTACCATACGAATGTCTGAAATATATCTTCCAAACTCAAGAGCAGCCATAGTTCTATTAATTAATAACATTTTTATGCTAAAAACTTGAATGAGATTGCAACGCGATAAGTAAACGATTCGACTAATAACATGATTATTCATATCTTTGAATCGGTTATTTTCAGCGGCCTGAGGTGACATTATGTATGAACTATTAACATTTCATCGACTTTTTCTCATTCAATAAACACTCTAATTGAAAAATGCAGAACTAATTACCTTACTCTAGCTTCAAATTTTCCTGCAATTTACAAAGTTTCAAGTAAATCTAATGATTGATATTCTGATACCCTGATAACTTCTACCTTATTTTCATTAGACCAGGATGGGCAATTACAACAACAATAATAAAATTCAAATTTCAATTGACAGAATAAATCACTATACAAAGTTCCAATTAAATTTCATAATTTTCTAATACGAATGTATATTTTGCAGCGACGTTGATCTATCGGAATACGTGTTCTGTATGAAGCTGCTCAACGGCCAGCACTATCAGCCTTCTGTCAACGCCATCGACTGGAACGCAAGAGACAAGCGCAGGACCAACCAAATCATGGCGCAGGGCGAACATTTCATCAAGTGTTTAACGCACGGTCGAGTCGCGATGAATGTAAGTGACTAGAGAGTGAACTTTTCATTTTGTGTTTAACGCTCCTCCAAGTCGCAATCGAAGTTACTCGGGAGTGAACTTTCATAAAGTGTTTAACGCACGGCCGAGTCGTAATGAAAGTAAGTTCCTAAGGAGTGAACATTTCATAAAGTGTTTAACGCACGGCCGAGTCGCAATGAATGTAAGTTACTAAGGAGTGAACTTTCATAAAGTATTTAACGCACGGCCGAGTCGCAATGGAAGTAAGTTACTAGGGAGTGAACTTTCATAAAGTTTTTAACGCACGGCAGAGTCGCAATGAAGTGAACATTTCGTCAAGTGTTTAACGCTAGGCCGGGTCGCAATGAAAGTAAGTTCTAAGGAGTGAACTTTCATAAAGTGTTTAACGCTAGGCCGGGTCGCAATGAATGTAAGTTACTAAGGAGTGAACTTTCATAAAGTGTTTAACGCTAGGCCGGGTCGCAATGAAAGTAAGTTCCTAAGTCGCGAACATTTCATCAAGTGTTAAATGCGAGGCCGAGTCGCATTTGAAGTTAGTTCCTACAAGGGCGAAATTTTCATAAACTGTTTTACGCACGGCAGAGTCGCAATGCAAATAAGTTACTAGGGGACGTGCAATCATAAATAGTTCCGAGTATGTCACTCCGTCAGCCAATTACTAACGGCTTTTCAAGCTAAACTCACTAATCGCAGGAGAGAAATCGGCCGTTACGTGTACTAAGCGCGATATGTGCACAGGAGCGAGTTTTGAAAGTTCGGCATCAGACGAATTTATTGAGCCTCAAAGGTACGCCGGGGACTAAATGTGTTCAAGGTTCTGGAAGTTTACGAGGGGGGAACTAACGCAAAAACGTCGGTGATAGAAGGAGAATGTGATCAAAAGATAAAAATATATTTAGATTTCGGTAGTCCGCAAAACAGCAACGCTCTGGAAAGAAGATTAAATTAGTTAACTAATGATTTGGTTCGTTAGAAGTCATATAATAAAAAACATGAATTAATCGAGGTAACTATACAGTAATCCATATACCGAATCAACATATGCTTTTCTCTATGATAATTTTATTTAAAGGTATCAACATAAAATAATCTTGCAAATTAATTCATAAATATCTGATAAATTGGTAAACAATTTGAAAACAATTTTTAATAACGAATAATTTTTTTTTAGCTGGATCACAACACCACGCGGTATCCAGGGAATGCATCTCCTTTCCAGCAACGACCGCTGCATAACCAGTGCCTTGGAATGCCGGACAGCGATTTCTACGCGGAGCACAGCCATCATCATGAACATGATCACCATGACGAGGGCAATCATGGTCAACATGATCATGGTCAACATGATCATGGTCAACATGATCATGGTCAACATGATCATGGCCAACATGATCATGATCAACATGATCATGATCAACATGATCATGATCAACATGATCATGGTCAACATGATCATGGTCAACATGATCATGGTCAACATGATCATGGTCAACATGATCATCCCGATCATCATGATCAGAGGGTTCAGAACGGATTTCAAGATCATGCAGACGATGAAGAATCTAACGAGCGTCACTCAGGAGACCACGAACATAGTTCTCATGAACATCATCATTCTGGCGATAGTGAAAATGACGACCATGCCCATCACCCTGAACATGATCATCCTGATCATAATGATGACAGTGAAGATGAACAAGACATGTTAGACTATGACTATGAAGAACAAGATAGCTCAAGATCAACGGAACTTAAGGTTCTATCATTCTGTACCATTCTTGTACCACTTACATTAATGGTGTTCATAAATTCATAAATATATTTCAAGCATAATATAGGAAGATGGTATTGTTAAACCTGATGAAAATTATGATTTACTTAGAAATAAATTCAATTGTAATTGCAGTTGGGCACGTATCTTTCACGTATATTTAGTTATGAATTTCTTTGTTACATAGAAAGTTGTTTCGAAATTGTACAGGGTAGACTAAATATTTTATCCGCGAAAAAGGACACGGACACGAACGATTTTTACATAATTATAAAGTATATATTATTTTCATGAATTATGCATAATAGGAGTAAAATAAACGATGATTGACACATTCGATTTTCATTCGTAGTACAGTTTGAGGTAGGATGAAGTTTGTGAAGACAAATTATTTATACTCGTACTGTAAACAATATTTGACTAATAAAATGAGCAAATCCTTCCAATCTTGGAAATAATGTTGCTCATCTATGAAAATCAGGAAATAACCATTATATTTTTAAACTAAAAAACTCTAAGTGGATCATTCGAAATGAGCTGAAATTAATTAAGTTATACCAAGATACATTTGACTTTCACTGTGTTTGATGGTCGTTATAGTTATTTAATTTTGAATGCTAAATTTATCTAGAAAAGTTAGATGGCACAGCTAGTAATGTTCAGTAAAAGTTTACTATATGTGGACCGAAGAAACGCAACACTAGATGAAGTAAAATAAGCGTCATGTAAATGAAAAATTTAGCATATTGTGATATTGAGATTCAATATTGCATTATATTGAAAAAGAATGATGCTTTCAAAAAAGGCATTTGAAAATCAAAACGAAGCGTTGACAATTGCTGTATAGGATCAGCAACATGAGCTCGAGTAAATCTTACCGCTGCAAGAATCTACAATCGGGATTGTGGGCATTTGAGGGTTCGAGGAGATTTGGCCAATATCACATTGAAGAAAAAATGGATGAGAGTGCCGATATAAGAGGTTACCAAGAGACTTTCAAAAGCTATTGACACTTCGGCGCGCACGCTCGTCAATCTAAATCAATAAACACAAGACAATATTTTCTAAATATAAATCTTGGGATTAAATTCTGTGAAATTCAGGTGTCGATGAAATTTGGATGATGAAAATTTACAATGCAACGAAATGAATGAGGATACCGCCATGGGTTACTATGAGACATTGGCAATAGCTTCCGACGTTGAGGCATGCACGCAAGTCAATCTAGCTAGCGAGGGAGGTGGCAGCGAGAGGGTAGCTGCCTACCTACAAACATTCAGTCAGTACATCTGGCTAGGTGCCACGCTTAGCACAACCCTCCTCTACTCTCCTCTTCATGTCGTGCTTAACCAACATGACGACGATAGCTTCCGTTGCAATGAACACCTGACTCCGAACACAGTTTCGTGCAACGCTCAACCAGATACCGTCAAAAATTTCAAATGTAAATAGAGTTTTATGATGAAACCGCGCTTCGGTAAGAAGCGTGAACTAATTATGGACTGCCGTGGCGATTTTCGTGCATGTGTTGAAGCAGTGATAATGAGGCATATCGGTCATAGCTGCCCGAGGTCTTCGCTCAAAGGGCGTCCGTGAGCAATGAATGTGCACAAGCGAACCGGGACTGGCTATATATGCAGCATTCATCTTTACTTTTCAGTGAATGCGACGCTAGTGAGTTGGTGAATCAAGATCAGTGAATGCGACGCTAGTGAGTTGGTGAATCAAGATCAGTGAATGCGGCACCGGATAGTTGGTGAATCAAGATCAGCGAATGCGACGCTAGTGAGTTGGTGAATAAAGATAATTGGTGAATAAAGAGGAATGCGTCTCGAATTGATAACAGTTACTAAACTACGTTTTTAGTTTACACTAGCAATTGCGTTGATTAATACTGCACTAATCAAAGTGTAGAATAAAAATAAAAACTTTAAAATCTTATCAAATTCGCGAATAGGTGAGTTCACCTTTAAAAGAAATCAACCATGACAATATACGACGAGCCAAGTGAGTGTTGTGGTTGTGGTTGGAATGCCTATTTGCTAAGGCCAGAAACTTTTGTTCCTATCTTCTATTTTCAGTGCGTGCAGTAATTGATTCAGATTAAGGGAGAAAATCCTTGATTGCATTGGGCATTCCCCTCGTACGGCACCTGATATGACTTCATTTTGGATCTCGATAGTGATCAGTCGATGACTTGAGTCGATATGCTGGCGAACTGGCGTAATTTGACTGGAACCTTCACCTCCTTTACCTATTGTTTCTACTCAACCTGCCCCAGCCCAACACCAGTCGTTGAAACGTTATCCGGCACCACCTTGCGTGGGTATCTTTACTACCACCTGCACTGGAAGAGAATAACCATTGACATAAGAAGAACTACGGATCCGCACAGCCGGTCTAAAGTGTCGTGATTAAAAAGGAAAATTCTCGCAAGTTTTAAGTTAAGTTAAATGTGGAAGACATAATTTAAGTTGCGAATCACACACTCGATGTCTTTTAATTGTGGTTTGCAGAACGATTGTACGTTCATAAAGTCCTTTTATTAATTCCAGTTTTGGTGTTCGGAAGCACCAAAACGATCTCTGAAGAAGAGTTGGTTGGAATTGCTTCTTTTGAAGTTTGTTTGGCGAATGTACACGTTGCTTGTAACGTGTGAAGGAACTTTTTCTAGTTCCTTCTTGGTTGGAAGTCATTCGTTCCAAATATTTTTAGCTGTCTTTGGACCATTCTCGTCGTCAGTATTTTGTATATATGGAATTTTTTAACTACATTGAGTTTCTTACGAAAGCGCGGATACAATTAAGGAAATAAACATAAAAATACAAAGTTCATTTTCAACACAAAGTGTAGCGAAATGCAATAACAATTCGCTGTGGCATCTTCGTCATTCCGTCCTCGCGCAAGTGCCCCAATATTTAAATCTAAATTCAAATTAAACTGTTAAACTGTTATAAATGATAGCTCTACAATAACTCTTCGTTATTTTTAAATACAACTTTTGGTAAATCGTGAAGCACGAAAATCGTCAAGTGGAGATCGCGTTCGAGACCACCAGTAGAAGAACATTCCAGGCGAGAGTGGATCAATCAAGTTTACAATAATAATCCGAGATAAAAATTACTACGAATAACCGAAAATAATATGCTTGTAAAGGATTCGACAGTTTGATAAAAGTTATGCTCAGGAGAAGAAGAGGACAAAAAAGTTTAGAAAATGGACGCCTAAGTTTATTTATTTACTTTGAGATCTCAATATCTCAATCATCACTTTGAAACAGTCAATCGTTTTCTAGCGTTTCACCGAACGCGAAACTCACTCGGAGGGATTTACTTGAAGTATTTATCGTCCACCTTATTCCATACTTCGAAATCGTCAAGATGATGTTCACTGGAGGAGCAACTAAGAAAAAAACGCAAAGCCAGAGTACTAGCAGCAGCAGCAACAGCAACAGCGGCCATAGGCGAACACCCCACGACAGATACATGGTCGACAGACAGCGATACTGCAGCTACGAGGTTGGTAGTTACATTAAATATAAATAAAAATGATCATCAAATTCAAATATCAAAATATGACAATAAATATATCGAGAAAACATACAGCAACAATGGAGGATGCTCTTATGCAACTGCTAAAAGTAGAAAATTGATTTCGAAATTTGATTCTATAATGCCTCCTTATAACATTTCGAATTGATTTTACAAATCGTATATGATTCACGTGTGGAAATTTTTGGAAATGGTAACAATTCATAACAAATCATTGATTCTGCTTTGATCAGTTCACAATATTATAGAATATCAATGCATAGCATTTAAATCGTTGAAATCGGAGAGCTGGAACTCCATCAGCGAAATGGCATTGACTTGAAAAAATAATTTTGTCCATATCCAACACACAGGAAATGAACTGAATAAATACTTGGTGGAGATAAAGGCATGCATCACCCATTTATATTATATGATATACGGTTGCGAATAGTAAATGAAATTAAATGAATAAAAGTAATGAACGAGAAAAAATTACACTTCTCCGTTTTTTACGTCTAAAAAATCAAAGTTTTTTTAAAGACTGCTGTCTTGGTGCGATTTTCAAACCAAAGGTAATGAAAACACATGTTTATTAGAAAAATTGGCATTTCTCAATTTGAAATAATAGTATCAAAATGAAGCTAATATAAAGATAAAATATTATGTTCATTGTTACATTATATCGCAGGCAATCAGATTTTACTCATGCAAAAACTGTCTTTTATTTTGTCACTTGCATTTCATTATTCAACAGGCTTTCGGGTTAAAATGGCTCGAAAAATGCAAGTACGTACTTAAAAAAAGATACTTCAATTATTTAAATAAAAATAATAAATTTGTCTTTCTCGATTGTATATTTCATGATATTAATGAAGGTAAAAAATTGGCATTAAATTAACGCATGCATAAACTTATCTCTGTAATTTGGAGTTATATCAGTAGCGAACTTTAATAATGTTCCGAATGAAATGCGCTATATTATGATGAACATTCAAGGCATTGGTCTCAATCTGTTTTCGCGCATGTGAATCGCAGATTTCATCCATTGATAAATCGTGATGATAAATTGTTAGTTTAAAAAATGGAGAAAAATATGAATCTACAGCAAAAAAGTAACAAACCGATGAGGAACATTCAATAATTTTGATTCTGCTGTTCTGACGATATTAATAAATAATAAACGAACGGATGTTCCTACAGTTATAATTTAACTATGTGTGAATTATAACATCGATAATATGAATCACTGCACGCAGACAAATATTAAAGAATATAAGGATAGAAAATATAGCCAATTGTCCTTCCACCGCTCTCGATATTGAAGGGCTTAATTAAATAACATCAAATAATGAATTTCTTTGCAAATACAAGTAAAAAGTTCTTCTCATTTCAAGTCAATCATAACCATCCTGAGGTCAACGCTTCAAGATTTTATCGTGTTTTCTGCTGACCTAAGAATTTTCAACTTGAAAGCTTTTATAGTCAATTAGTGCCGCAGGTTCAAATGGTCATCTGGTCATTAGTTTTCAACAACTCGAACGAGATCCGCTGATAGTAAGATATCCTATGACCAAAAATTACCCCATGACCGTGCATAATTTAACGATCACAAGATATCTTAGGACCATGAATTATCCCATGGTCGTGCATAATTTGACGATCGGGTCATCTAATGATCGAGCATAATTTGACGATCGGGTCATCTGATGATCGTGCATAATTTGACGATCGGGTCATCTGATGATCGAGCATAATTTAACGATCGGGTCATCTGATGATCGAGCATAATTTGACGATCGGGTCATCTGATCTGATGATCGAGCATAATTTAACGATCGGGTCATCTGATAATCGAGTATAATTTAACGATCGGGTCATCTGATGATCGAGCATAATTTAACGATCAGGTTATTCTATGATCATACGTTATTCGATGATCGGATGTTATTAGCTGATGGTACATAAGATGATGATCGGGAACGTTTCGTCATAGTAAGCAATTTGATTATCGTATGTAGTGTGTATAATCCGAATTGATCTGATGTTCGTAAGTAATCTGATGACTGTAATTAAGCTGATTAGCCGTTAAATTTTCCTAAATATTAGTTGATTCAATCGTTTTTCACTACACTTTATATTAGCTGGAACAGCAATCAACAGTTCAACACGGATGACTATCTCGCATGCCAAGGACGCTCATGCATCTCACAAATGGACTTGTTCTATCGAAAATAAAAACTAAAACATAATTGAAGGAGCTAAGGTATAAATATAATAATAGCATAAACAAGAATATAAATAACAATTTAGATACTTTTTAGGTATAAACATATTAGTTATATTAATATTATTATTAATATACAAATATTATATACAACATATACTTGTATATTTGCAAAATTTTGTATATTATAATACAAATGTCATTAGTGTTAATAATAATAATAATAATAATAATAATAATGATAATAATAATAATTATAGTAACATATTAAAAGGTATTCGCCATTTTCTATCAGCTTTAGCTTTTACTCTGGCATTTTCTATGCAGCAGGTGAGCTTTGTACGCGTCACTTCAGCTTGACCCGCGCATCGTTTACCTAGCATTTTTTGTCACGTCACAACGTCACCTGAAATAAAGATTGCAAACAAAGACGAAGAAGGAATTATGTTATTACGTATTAAAAGAAGATTGCAAACAAAGACGAAGAAGGAATTATGTTATTACGTATTAAAAGAAGATTTGCAAACAAAGACGAAGAAGGAATTATATTATTACGTATTAAAAGAAGATTGCAAACAAAGACGAAGAAGGAATCGTATTATTACGTATTAAAAGAAGATTGCAAACAAAGACGAAGAAGGAATTGTATTAAAATTAAGAGAAGATATGTGCGAAAATTTGACTTTCAAGCATTGATCGTCATGAGTGAATTCCATTAGGAATTTTTAGTACTTAAGACGATCGTACAAAGTATTAAAAATGATTATGTGATGAAATATTTGTAGAATTTTTGCTCATACAGACTATTTGTTCATAGCCTATATATATAACGTAATAAATATATACAAAATTCACGAAAATGAAGCTCATTTTCAGAATTATTCGAATGATATGTGAAGAATTAATACCGGCAAATAAAATTACGAACTGAAAATTAAAATCTGGTACCAGTTCATCATTAGATAGAAACATCATAAGGACAGGTTATAAAGAAACCAAACAGGAAATAAACAGTAAATTTCTGAAAAACTCGGTCAGTAATGCAGAGAAAAGCACGTTTCACCATAACAGGATAATTGACAGCCTGGTGAATCACGAGACGGGTAATGCTTCTAAGTTGCCCTGACAATGCTTCTAAGTTGCCCTGACAATGCTTCTAAGTTGCCCTGACAATGCTTCTAAGTTGCCCTGACAATGCTTCTAAGTTTCCCTGACAATGCTTCTAAGTTGCCCTGACAATGCCTTTAAGTCGCTCTGATAATGCTTCTGAATTTCCCGAGCAATGATTCTAGGTTACCCTGACAATGGCTTGAAGATCCATTGGAATGGCTCTAATTTGCCCTGTCAAGTTGTAAAGTTGCTATAGCTCTGAGCTCATCCGACAATGGCTCCAAGTTGTTCCAATGTTGGCACACAGTTGCTATCTCAATGTCTCCAAGGTTGCCTGTCAATAGCTTCAAGTTTTCCTGTAAATGGCTCTAAGTTGTCCCGTCATTGGCTCTAAGTTGCTCTGAGTCTTGCCAGTAACAAAATTATCCCCACAATGATTCAAAGTTTAGCTGCGGTGGCTCTTACATGTTATTTCAGCCATAGAACTGGATGAAAATGAAATCACTTATCTATAACATTTTAAACAATTTTTAAACAATTCTTTGTAATTTTTTTTTCTCTGTAGTATTAAAGTAAGAGATTGTCTTATTAGGTGATGCATGGTATTTTGAAACAAACTTCCGACCGAAGTTATGCACAAACATTTAATTGTAATTACAAATTTGTTTTTAGCTGGTCTTCTGATATTATATACCATATATTATACCAAATAGCTGGTCTTCTGATCTAAGATAGAAGACAGTTTAACCACTATAGGAAACAGCTATAGGATTGAGTGATTTTACATCAGCT